TGTTGCTGTTCTGGACATGGGACTGTATTTCCCAGGGAATAAAACCACTATCTACAAATAGAACATGATGGAAATTCAACTGAAATTCTCACTGCTACTCAATAATGATATTTATTCTACATCTCCATCGGTTGACATATTCTCTAATTCTGGCTAATAATTCAGTTTTTAAAAAGCCATTTTACAGCTAATTTGTCCTGTACAACTTAAATTCTCATGGTTTTTATAGAAATCTAAGGACAACTTAAGATGTTAAAGAACCACCTGCAGTGGTAAGTTCGTTTAACATAAACCTTGATGGGTTCTTGCTGGAGTCTAGTGAAATAAGAAATAGAAGTAAAATACAATGAGATTCATGAGCTACATGTGTGAGCATGTTATTGTGACATTTCTCCTAATTTGATGTTAGGCTGTTTTTCTTTAAAATAGTAGATAGTACAAGGTAGTTGAACGTCAAAAAAGTATCCTCATTTTGCAGAATTAAACATTGGGACACTATTTGATGGCCATGTTTATGTGTGTACATTTAAAATATGTTGTTCTGAGCTGTCCCATATGCTGAGACACTAAAAAAAATTCAGGGTTTTAGAGCTGTATTCTGCCAGTTTTTCTACTATGCCAATTTCCTTTGAGATTTTGATCTTGGCAAACAGGTATTGTATTATCATTTGAAGATCTAATCAGATTCTGCTGTTAGGAGTATCTCCTGTATCTGTTTGAAAGATTAAGAAGTTTGTACTTTGCCTGGAAAAAAACTTTTCAGACCAAGATGGGGACTCACAATAGATCATACTTAACGATCAAGTCTGGCACAGCCTCCTAGGTTCTGTGAACTTTTTAGTTCTTGGGTTTTTGTTTTTCCTTTGCTTGATGATGCTTCAATACAGAAGAATGTGGCCAGGTCAGTGTGGGTTTACCAAGGCTTTGCTTTCACTAAAGATTTATTATTTTATGACATTTGAAGTATTGAGAAAGCTTTTATACTTTGTCAATTGGTTAACAATAAATAAAGATTACATTATGTGAGCGGAATGGGATATACTGGTTTGAAGTATTAATACTTAAGTCTTAATATTTTTTGCATTTTGACCTTCACCTGAGGCAGAGAGAGACAGAAACCTGGTCACATTAGACTTTTTTTCCGTCTTCATAAGAAAAAATACCTGTATGGGTGACTTTTTAAGAATCTAACCCGGGTTTAAATTATTCCAGAACTTGTGATAGCTACAATTTGTATAAAGACTAAATATGATTTTTTAAAAAAAACACTCAATATGTTAAAACTTTAGTTTTCATTTGCTTTATGTGATCAAGTATTATGCTTACATTATTATGTCTTTATACACTTTGGAATATTATAATTTGTAAAAATCCATTGTTATTTCATTTGTTTATGTAATTTAACAATATTCTATCACAGGTGCTTTTTAAGGCTTCAGTGTTCTAGTGGTAAATTAAATGCTTGTTCGCTCTACTTTTGAGGCTTTTAGCATTTCTTGGCTGGTGGCCATCTAACAAAGATGAGTAGCTGTGGTGGGCTATTGTTATCCTTCCATCACTACAGTCCAGGTCTGCTCAGGATTTTGCATTTTCCTTGCAGTTCAACGGCCATCTCATTTTGGTTTTGGCTTTCAACAGTCAAATCTTCAAAGATCTTTTGTTTTCTGACGGTTGGAGAAACTGGCTCAGTGTTCTTACTCTTGGACAATTATTTAATTGTTTACAGATAATTGAAACTATCTACTAAAGGTTTCTACTCTGAGTTCTTTTATTTTAAGGGAGGCCTTGACATGTTGGTCAAAACAATTCCTGGTTATTGAAAAAATTGCTTTTGAAGCATCAAAGAATTCATTTCTTTTTTTTTCTGATTTGGCACTGCATTTTTTTTCCCCTGTGTATTATAACAAATTTCTCCTTTTTGAAAGTAAGATGTGGTAAATTAAATGCTTGACTTGCTACTGTTGTGGCATGATTACAGAATATGTACAAAGTTAAATACTAAAATTGTATGTTAATAATATAAATCATTACTTTGGAAGTGCAGATTATAATTAGCACATCTTATACAATAAAGAGTTTAGACTCCAAAGTACCACATCAACAACTAATAATTCACTTCAGGAGAGTAGTTTAGTGAAGGATATTTTGAATCCTTAGTGTAATATTTCCATGTCCTGGCTTATTTTGAGTATTATAAATATTTTAGAAAATTGCCTTATTTTATTTCAATTTTTAGTACATTATCAGAAGTGATTTTTTTTCCCATGGAGAATATATTTCCACCTTTATTGAATAAGACAGTAGGAAAATCTGATTTGGTTTCTACAGTTGGCTTTTTAAGCCAAGCTACAGGAGCACATCTGTTCCACAAAGTTGGATATACCCGGAACGTGATAATGCACAATTATTTCCTTACAGAACTGCTTAAAAACAGTCACACTAAACAGCTTGTGACCTACACTTACCAATTGCTTACACTATGCAGATACTATTCTCAGTGTTTTACATGTATTAATTCATTATGTCTTAAATGTTTAAAATATGTTTCCCTTCCTTTTTTCCCATTTCCTTTCTCCTGACCCTTACCCAGTTGGTATCCCTTAAGAAACGACCCAAATCAGAAACATTAGTAGCTTCTGTTAAGGTTGTCCACTTAATTTATGGTCCTGTACACTGTTAATGGGACACACAGAAAGAGATCAGGAAACCTGAAGTAATACTGTGCAGTAGAGCTAGAATATTGCCTGGGTGCTGACTTAACTGAGTGAATGCCAGGCATAGGGGGTGGGGGGGGGTGGGGGGGGTGGAATCCCAGGTCCATGGAAACACTTGAGGAAAAAGCAGAGAGAACACTGCTCCTTTTACCCAGCACAGAGCTTTGAGAACCTGAGCTGCAGAATTTACAGTAACGTGACAGATCAGACAAAGTGACATACTTTGCCACAGACCAAGAAAAACATGAAAAACAGAAACTTGGTGATAATAACAAGGATGAAAGTGACAAGTTTGGATCACTGAATAGATGGAAGGCTGGCTTTAGATTTCCCAAGAATAAAAGTGACAAATACATCCTTTAAGCAAATAGTTTTATACACAGGAGGATAAGTATATTGCTGAGTATATATACTATATTATATTATATCTCATGTCAGATGATTGATTAGCTTTCTTATTACTTGCATTTTTATGTAGCCAGGATGGAGTTTTTATTGTTGTTATGTTGGGGGTTAGGGGTGTTTCTGATGAGAATAGAACCCGGAACCTCACCCACGCTAAGCACATGTTGTACACCCCCAGCCCAGAGATATTTCATGTACATTTATTCCTGGAAAGTGGATTGATAGAGAAACTGCAGGCCTGGATTTGGGTCTCAGCTGATACATGACCTTGAACATTGCTTAGGAGGAAAGAAATGTCAGCACTTTTTAAGATTAGGTGGTTGGGGAGACTGTGGTGGCTCATTCCTGTAATCCTAGCTATTCAGGATTTGGAGATCTGGAGGATCACAGTTCAAGGCCAGCCCAGGCAAAAAGCTCTCAAGACCCTTATCTCATTCAATAAAATCTGGGTGTGGTGACTCTTGCCTGTCATCACAGCTACAAGGAAAAAGTAAATAGGAGGATCATGGTCCAGGCCTGCTAAACATGAGGCCCTATGAGGAAAATACCTAAAGCAAAAAGGGCTGTTGGCTTGGCTCAAGTACAAGAGCTCCTGCCTAGCAAGTGTGAGGGCATGTGGTTAAACCACAGTACCACAAAAAAAAATTTTTAGGTGGTTGGTTATACAGTAAAACACATTTCAAAATTATGTATTACTGTACATAGCTATCATAATCATTAAATATTTGATTACTAAGTACAGTGATTCATATGTATTGTTCCGTCATATAACAATAAAACTACAAATTGTTCACGTTCCATTTGTTCACTAGTTCAGTTCTTCTCCATGTTAGTAGCATTTGTATGATGGTTTTTTTAAAATCTTGCTGCTCTTTACAGTAATTGAGTCACTGAAAAGATTCGGTGATGTTGAGCCTCATCTTTTTGTCATAGGACTGTATCTTACGTTATTTCTTCTATTTTCTAGCAAGAAATTTATTTAAATTTTATTTTAAAATTTTAAGGCAATCAACATTTTGTATTGAAAAGCCATGAAAATCATGTCTAAAAACTACTGGGAAATAAATCAAAGCTAATATTGTCATTCTACTTATTTTCTTTGACTAATGTAATCCTAGAGAATAGTCATTGGATACATTTTAACTGTTTTTTAAGGAATGAAAAGTATTACCTGAAAATTTCCAAGGTAGTGGTGTGTGTGTGTGTGTGTGTGTACACATTTTTTTTTTTTTTTTGGTGTGACTGGGTTTTGAACTTAGGGCTTCACACTTGTAAAGCAGGCACTCTACTGCTTGAGTCATACCTCTAGTTTATTTTGCTCTAGTTATTTTGGAGATGGAGTCTTGTCAACTATTGGAGGCAGGCTAGCCTCCAACCTCAGTCCTCCTGATCTCATCCTCCCAAGTACCTAGAATTATAGGTATGAGCCACCAGTGCTCGGCTAGGGTATATATTTTTAGGGGAATGATGTGTTGCCTATCCAGTTATTCTTATGCCATTAGAAAAGTTAAATGAGTATGCTTCATCATTTCTAATAAAAAGCTGTGTATATGCAATTTTTATGTGATGGCCAAAGAAATACCAGTGACTTACCAAAAAATATGAGTTTTGAATTTCTTATGATTAATCATGGCTAGTATTTATTAAATGTGTCCCTCATAGGTCTGTGTACAGCCATTCTTGATTAGTTGAAATGCAAAAGGATTGCAACTTTCTGTGCCTTTTGAAAACTAAATATGAGACATAGAGATACTTGTGTTTTTTATCTCTCAAATAAGGGAAGCTAGTTATATTAAAACAGCACTAGAGTATTTATTTTGTTCCCCCATATTACATTATCTTTAAATATTATAGTCTTATTTATTGTTCTCATTTGAATAGGTGTCTCAATGCTTGTACCTACTGTAAAACTAAACACGCCAGAGGAAATTTGGCCAGTTATCCAATTGATGAACTAGTAGATAGAGCCAAACAATCCTTCCAAGGTAAGTGTTTCAAGAATTGTCTGTGAAATTAGTCTTCTTAATAAATCATGTTAGCCTTCTAAGTAATATTTCAATGTCCCTGTTTCTTTAGCTCTCTGAGGTTTACAAAATTTCAGCTTTACTAATAGAAGATATCAGATTTAATTGCTCAAGCTATATTTTCATTAATTTCTTTTGTCACTTCTCTGTTTTCTTACCACTCTACGGTAAATGACATATTTCAGATTTATACTTTATGGCCCATCTCTAGATTCCGTGGAGAAGGAATGATGATGACAATGATGCTAAAGGAAAAGGACTTTGGGGGAATTAGCACTAGGGTTTGAACCTAGGGCCTTGCATTTGCTAGGCAGGCACTCTCCTTTTGAGCCAAGCACTAGCCTAGAAATAGAAAAAAAAATCCCCAAAAATCCGTAAGTCCCTGAAATCTGTAAGGATTTTTACAGACTGGATGACATAATCTGATTTCTATTCTCTTTCCTTTCCATTTTTTTTTGGACCTACTAGGAAACTGAGCTATTAAGGCTTTCCAGGAGTTCCTGAGAAAGAAGATAGGTTTTCCTATCAGCAGAAAAGGAGAGCCTCCCCCCTCTATAGGACTGTAGACTAGTGAAGAGTAGTCCTGAGGGTGAGCAGTGCCTTTTGTGGGGTAGCTAGCTGCTTGTGAGTCATAGTGTGCTGGAAAATGTGATTGTCTAGCTACCTCTCGGCATATAATAAGACTTATTTTTAATATGAGTCACTGTGATGTTGACACAAACTGCTTAAACTGTGAGCTTCCTCTTTTGTCTTTGTTTATAATATAAGTATTTAACAGTGGTGTGTTTTTACACCCAACCTGAGATAATCTATTGTTTCGTAATCTTGTGGGACAATAGTTATTGGCAATGCACTTCACCTTTTAGCAAGTAACTTAAAGTGCTACTTTCAGTACTTTATACTGGAATCTTAGAAATTCTGATGCTTAAATACACTTTTAAAAAATCTATTGAAAGCTTTTATCATCAGAATTCAGAATGTTCCTTTTAATATGAGGGATATACACTTGGTTGATTTATTAACATCTCCCAACATTTTTCTTTTCTTTGCTATATTCTTAGCTTAGTCCCCTCCGACATTCCCATTCAACTTGGATTGAAAGAGAAACAAAGGAAAAATACTGACTGTGTTCTGTTTTTAGAGCCAGGCTATTGTCCAGTCTGAGGAGAAGCCTGGATGGTTGTCTTTTCTATAGTAAGATTACTGTAAAGATTTTCTGAAAGGGCAAAAGTTCTTGTAGAACTCTGTCGACATATCTGATAACCATGCTGGCTTTTTAATTGGTGTTTGTTTTTTAATGAATCTATCAGATAATTGAGATCTTAAACATATGTGATCTATTTGCTAGACATTTCAAAGTAGAAGGCATACAAATTAGTACTTTTTCAACATTATGCATTTCTAAGTGCAACTGTGTAAAAAATTTAAAAGCCTATTTAATTTTATGTGAAAACCTAGTTGAAAAGTGTAAACTGTAAAATCATTATGTAGGAAATGGAAGTATTTTTCTTCATTCCCTCATATCTAATCTTCACCTGTAACTTAAGCTAACATTTGGTATAATTGCTTCATGACTTTATACAGACACACTTGTATTATATATGAATTGAGAAAAAAAGTTTTGTTTTTTAAGTTAGAGTCAATGAATTTACTTATGGAAAGATAATTAATTTATTACTTTTTTTTTTTTTGGCAATATTGGGGTTTAAACTCAGAGCTGTATGCTTGCTAGGCAGGTACTTTATCACTTGAGCCATGTCTCCAGCCTAAAGACAGTGTTTTTAAAATGATTAGAGAATTTTCCTAAAGATGTGCAACTCAGCACTCTGATTTGTCTTTAGAAATGCCCTCTAAACAACAGAGGTACCCTGGGTCTCTTCTGAGAATTTTAGTTGTTATTATAGTTGACTAATTCAAAGAGCATATCACAAGGTGGGAATTTATGTTTGACTTTATATTAATTAATTAACTAAAAAGCTTGCTATGCTAATTTTTATTATAAATTTTATTATATAAATTAATATTAATTCTAGGTGATTACTTATAGAGGAAGTACTAGATTACTGTCATCTTCATCAGTAGATGTGTGTTTTTTCATTCTTAACCATGGGATGTTTGCAAAGAAAGACTTTTTGTTGTCTTGTATGTTTCAGAGTTGTAGCTGGGTGTTGTTTTTTGGACCAGTGAGCTCATGTGATTTATATGAAGTTCTAGAAAGATGGAGGTCAGAACTTGCTAGGTGAGCCATTGTGGGTAGGAAAATAGGAAGTTGTCAGATATTTGCTACTTTTTGCTGTATGCAGTTTGGATTTGAAACACTGCTCGGTTGCTTACTAGCCATATGATCCATACATGTATCTGTCTTCTCCGAGCTGTGGTTTCTTACCACTATGACATTTTGTGTTGTTTGCTGTAAGAATGTGAGATATCATTTGTGAATCAATTTGCTGTGCCATTAGTGTGAAAAAGACATGTTACTTAATCTAAAGGAATTTAAAATGAATGCAAGAACAAAAGTCTAATTTGGTGTGAGAATATTGGAGCATCCATAACGAGAGACATTAATGACTACAATCAAATGACAGATTTTCTTTTTCTTGTTACAATGGAAAATTTCTCTGTAGATAAGCTGCTTAGTATGACAGTTACCTTTCATTTTCTCAATTTGAGATATGCAAATTCATACAAAGGATGGCCTTCGAATCTCTTTCCACTACAAGAAATATCAGTCCATAAGCTCACCTTTTAAAGATAGTGTATTAGTTGTAGTATCTTTTTTTTTCTGCAAAAGACATTGAAATTTTGCCTCATAGAATTCCTAAGTTTGCATTTTATAATTGTAAGGATAATTATGTTAAGTATAATAAAGAAATACTCCATTTTCTTATTTCTATGATTTCATATTTAGTTCCTTAGTAATTGAGGTGTTAGGAGTATTCTTTGAGCCCAAACCCCTTAAAGTCTCCTTCTACCATGATTAAATGACCTTACAATGAGTAACAAATACGGCTCTGTGAAAAGTTACTCAAAGATGAAAAGTCTAAATATGCTATCAGTACATCTTAGTGCTATATTTAAAGCCATTCTGTCTGCAGAAGTTAATGCCATCCTTAAAATGGCATTCTCTTTTTCCTTTTCTTTCTTTGTTTAATGGCTGCTGTGCATCAGGAATACAAATTGACTCCCCCCACCCCCCAGCTACTGTGGATTATACTCAGGGCCCTACACTTGGTATGCAGGTGCTCTACCGTTTGAACCATGCCCCTAGCCTATTTTTGCTGTAGTTATTTTTCAAGTGGGGCCTTGCACTTTTGCCTGGGGTGGCCTCAAACTTCTGTCCTTCTAAGCAGCTGGGATTATAGGCATGAGCAATCTTGCCCAACACAAATTGATTTTTTTTATAACTACACCACTATTCAATATGGATTAGAATTCAGGTTTCCTGTCATATAAGAGAATTTATCATAAAATCATAATTTATTTCTGAGTAGTGTACTTTTGAAGCATTTCATACTTTTAGGAATTTGTTTCTTGTTAGAATAATGAGTAAAGAGATTAAGAGCTTGCCCAAAGGCAAGCAACCATTCAGAAGAAAATGTGAAATAACCATGAAAACATTCTGAATATAAAATGTCTTCCCAAAGTACAAAAAATATGCTGACTGTGCATTTAGCTACCAAAAGAAGAGAGAGTGCATTAACTTTTGAATGGCTATCATTAAAAATTATATTTTAAAATACAAACTATTTTCTCTTGTACATCAAAATATATGTATAGCACATGAATTAGTGGACTCTCTCTCTCTCTCTCTCTCTCTCTCTCTCTCTCTCACACACACACACACACACACACACACACACACACATGCACACACACACACATTTGATTTCCTGGCATTTTTCTTCTTTCCACTAACCTAGTCCCCTTGATGTTTTCATTGATATTTTTACCTTCTCAGTGTGTTTTTCAGTTTTGTGGGCAGATCTGCATTTGAATGTAAGCTTTACAAAGTACCTTCTGGATGTTATCTTGCTCTCACAAACTGTTGGGAAACCTTCCTCCTCTCTGCTGATTCAGGTTTCTTAAAAATCCTAGGATTAACAGTGTTCTGGGCTGAGGTTGCTGGCTTTGACATGGCTGCATTTTAGATATCTAGAAAAACATGTCAGGCAGTTACCAGGACTGTGTTGGGGCCAGAATGAATTTACAAGCTAGTGTTTTCTAGGATATTTGTATTGATTTTTCTCCAGCAGCTAATCAATCAGCTTCAGTTGTATACGCGATGGAGCAAACCTTTTTAAGTGTGATGAGTGAGTGGTGTGGAAACAACACCTTTTCATTGCTGTCTCTGGAATCAAAATGTAGAGATGATGGATGAGTTGTTTTTATAGCTATCGTGTGTTTTTCTGGATCTCATTTGGGTGTTGCTACTTTTTCTCTTCTTCATAAATCTGAAAAGCCCTGCAAGATAAGTGGCACAAACCAGTTATGGAAAGGTAAAATAAATTAAGATGAAATATTCAGAACTGAAAGAAAATTTCTTGGCACCAGTGATTTCAGTATTGATATGTGAATTTTAAAAAATGGATTCTACTGTGTCTCAAGACTTGCAAAGAATACTCTCTGTTGTATGTAAGATTAATTATGAAATGCACCTGGAAAACATTGCTTCTTACCCTTTTAGGTAGGTAAGCATATGAGCAATATTTGATTTTCTGTTGTATAAACTTGAGACCAATCAGTTGAGTGGTTCATATCAAGCCCCATTTGACTGATCACCTTTAGGGATCACTGTATAATGTGTAATGATTATGATCTAAGATCAGAAAGGGGCCAATAATAGTATCCTATTAGAGTCCATGGAAGTTAAATTAAATATCTCCTTAATTGCTTTATTTTTCTCTTGTGCTGTGTTCAAATAAAATTGAGAAATCCACTTCTTCTGTAGACTTAATAGTGCT